CCCCAAAACCCCAAAACCCCAAAACCCCAAAACCCCAAAACCCCTTTTTGAAATAATCGAATTGAATCGTTACCGAAATTAACCAATATTTTGGCACTTTCATCCATTTTATAAGAAATAATTTTATTGTTTTGAACTTGGGTGAAGGATAAACTTGGCAGCTTAGTGAGGAATCAGAGAGACTGCGTGACCCATCTTGCTCTTTTAGATATTCTTGAGTACAACTAGGGATCTAAAATAGCTTCCAAAATGTTCATATACTTTTCTGGGTCTTTCATGTCAGAGTAGCTAGGCTTAGACAATAATTCCAAAATTATTCTGCGAAATCATGAATTTTCTTTTACTAGTTTCTGGAAGTTGGCTTTTGATGTGTCCTTGCGCTTCTTCAATTGAAGATTTAAAATCTCTCATTCCTCAATTGACAGCAAGCCAGCTTCAGCAACTTTTGAAATAATTTGTTTCACTTTCTTTTGAGAAAAACCCAAAATTATAAATTCACAAAAAGTTCTGACTTTGTTTCGAGGAGTCTGACCCCCAAACACTGTAGGCACAAAGCCTATTATAAATGCTTCAGCGTAAGACTCAATAACTAGTTTCAGATTGGCTGATTTGTATCTTCACTTTGATTCAAAATATTTGAGAATATGATCAACGACCCTTTTGGCATCTCTGTACACAGAGGTATTTTTAGAATCAGTTCTTTGGATGTCTTCCCTTTTGTTAGCTTTACTAGTAAGATTGCCCAAGACTTCCCTCCAGATGACTTCTGGGTCGGTATTCTTGAGCTTTCTTGGTCTCCCTCTTCTTCTATTGGATGAAATTTGTCTGGCATATAATTTATCGAAAAATTCTTTATCCAATACTTCCAAGAAATAAGACCTATATTGGCTAACTTTACCACCAGAGCACCTCGTATCAGAGGATCTTTGCCCATCATCAGTTTCAAGGTGGTCAGCAATCGGGATAGGATTTTGTATAATTTTATTCCCTTTTTCAGGTATGTTTCAAAGTTGAAGGCCACCAGTCGTTTTGGATCCAATCTTTGGGAATCAAGACTTCTCTTCTTCAAGTAAGGCTTGGCTTTCGTCAGAATGCTCTTTAAACTCTAGTGGCTGGTATATTGCTTGATCTTTAAAACCAAAGCTATCTTCACATCTAGATTTCGAATTTATCCCACTCTTGAAGGAGCTATCATCACTTTTCTTAAACAAATCGAGGCCAGAATTACAATCGATAGAGTATGTATCCCATGAATTAGTTTCTTGACATTCAGGAAACCTGAACACAATCTGCTCATGCTCAAATACACCCAAAGCTTTATTCTGGCCTGGATTCATTATATTATTTATAACTTATAACCTTAATAATAATTTTCCTTTTCTATTATCCACAAACCTAAAGGGGTTTTGGGGTTTTGGGGTTTTGGGGTTTTGGGGTTTTGGGG